CCACATGTGATGGTAATGACAATAAAGTTTACTTGATCTTGATCATGAAATTTCCAGATGAATTCCATTTACATAAATATTTTACACAGCTTCACTCAAACCTATCAAATAAATGTAATTTGTAAAAAAATAAACCAAAAAATAATGTACTTTGTGTGGCAGGGAGGTAACAGCCAGGAAGATAATATTGAGGTGATCAAGGAGAATGGTTCTTAAGCAAGAAAACCAATTTAAAATAGGGAGCTTAGATCATGGAAAAGCAGGGAGACGGTGTGATGGCCAGTAGGAGTAAAACACAAATTTAAGGCAGATAATCAGAGTTGGAGGAGGACTCAGGATGGGAGAAAAATGTCAAGTGGATATGAAGGTGGTGTGCGTGGGGGCGGGGGGATTTACTGTTCCAGATGGATGCCATGTGTCTGACTCTGCACCTGATCGCTCTTAAACAATGATTCTTTGTATTGCTTTATGTTACTCCTGAGCTGCCATGTGATGTATATCTGTTCACCTGATTAAAGAGGTTTGTTATGAAGTCCCACAGTTTTTTTCTCTTTGTTCCCATTTTCTCTCCTGCTCTCCAATTGTCCTCCTTTTTTATTTTGTTTGCCGTGCTTTCTGCCAGAAGGAGGGACAATATTTTGGATGAGCCACATGCTGATAAATGGATGCCAGCAGCCGCCCTGTCAGAGTGGCAGATCACTTTGTGCCACAGAGGGAGTGTGTATTTGAAACTAAGACAGACATACAGACAGAAAGATGTTGGCTGCCTGTTTGTCCTTGCTTGTGGCATCTGTGGTTTCAGCAAGAAGTATTTTGCATCGATCCACTTGTGAAAATGTCTGGCATCTGAATTGGGTTTTTTTTCCGTCTAAGTACTACTGGAAAGGCTGAGTAAAACACGTTAAACATAGATTGCTAACAATAGAAAAAAGCTACGCATCTTTGTGGTGACTTTTATGTCAAAAACTTTTCTAAAAACCAATTAGTTTTTTGATATTTCTATGAAAGCAGCATATTTTTTTTTTAATTTAACAAGCTTTAGAAGACAATAATGGATCTGCAATTTAAACTCCGCAGTCTGAGATGAAGCTTGGTATTTCGATTTCTTTGATTTCCAAAGGCCAGAACAATACCACTGTCTGAACATTATTTATGGCACAGCAGTCCTCATTAAACAGCCTTATAAAATGAAGGTTTTCCACAACAATGGAGCCAAAATCACATTTGTTTTCCCTTTGTATCCCTAATTATGATTTAATTAACAGCTAGAAATTATTTTTACACTCTTGCTCTGTGTATTCATACAATGATAATTTGGATATGAAAAAAATGACATGGAGCTTAATCAGTAGTTTTGGTTCTTGTGATTTCTATTTTACAAACTGTGAATTCAAGGTTCAAGTTCTTATCATTCACATGACATGTGGTACAGGAGGTGGAATGAAATTGTGTGCTCAAGGTCCCAGTTACACCCAAACATAGCAAAAATATAAAGTATTAAAATAAACAATGATCTAAGAAATACACTGATAAATGCTAAACAAACGCTAAACAAACGCTAAACAAACGCTAAACAAATGCTAAACGATAAGTTAAAAGAGCTACAATATACGCTAGACACTAATAATGTAAAGTAATATGGTATATTAAACAGCAGCCCGACCATGAGTCTGTAGTGGACAGATGGATATGAATACATCAGCATGAGATCAGCAGCATGGATAATCAGAAGTACAGATAAGTCACAAATCACCAATTACAGTGGCATTACAGTGATTTTTCTTTTAATGTTTTTCCTTATTTTTTTCTTACAGTGATTACCTTTGTTAGGGATTCATGAGTCTTAACAGAATTAGTGGTCATATTTCAAGAGCAGTCTTGTAGGTATCTGAGATGCTCAGTAAAACATATAGTTAATACATTTAGTAAAAATTTATACTTTTAAACCCTTGATAATTACAATCAATTTTGAAAAACATTTGCTTCTGCTTTTCATTTTCTGTGTATGATGAAAAATGTCTTACACATGCACTTACCATTTGTAGACCAAAGAATTGTTATGCCAATACTTTTCCCCCCCATCTAATCTTGTGGGTCTTAGACAGAGAAAGATAGTTCAAACCTTTGGTAAAAACCTTACCAATGTTTATTTCTGTACATATTTTTTGGCATACAAGTGTCACATTAAAATATAATCCTAACAGTATGTTCAGATGATGTCAAAGAGAGACAATGAGGGAAAGTGGAAGTGAACTCAGCATAGCAAATGTTAAGAACAACTAGAAAGTACCCAAGGGTCCTAGACATAAATGGAATGGCTAAAAAGAAATCAGTCATAAAATATCTACAAGAAAATAGACAGGAAGTGAAGGGCCAGCTTAATGGGAAGAACATCATAAGCTTTCAGCACATATGCCTTCCAGTTAGCTAAACTCCTCCAGGTAGAACAACCTGAACAAAAGATGAGCAAATCCTCAGATATCAAAAAGCCCCTCATAATACATGAAGGGGTGTAACCCAAGTTCAGCTCCCTGAGACTGTACAATACCCTGCAAAAGAGACTGCAGGCTGGTGAGTTTCAGAGCTACTATCCAGGTTGATACAAGAAAAATCCAGGGATACATCAGGAAGATAGCCTCAACAATAAGCTGGTAAAGATTGCCTCAGGCAACAGAAACTCAGTGTGGAAGACAAGTAACCATCATGGAAGAACCCTTGTATATCATATTAAACCAGAACATATCTTGATAAGTTTGTATTTTTGATTCACACTTCTATTTTCTTTGTAAATATTTTTTTTTATGTTGGGAGATGTAACCTTTTGAAAGTAGACCACTCTTGTTTGGTAAAAAAATCTTTGTGGTTCATTGAAATCTGTTCAACTCTTCGAGAAAAGCTGTCACATTTAAACTGGTTGGAGTTTTAGAAGTTAACTATCATGTAAATAACATTAATTTTACTAAGTCTTTTTCTCCCCAAACACAGTACCAGAGTCTTTTGACATGCCTATTCCAGTCAAAGTTCACTTCAGTAGATGGACATTGAATTGAGGGAGTGCCTTTGTTTATTTATTTTCACTTACTGGTAATTGAGAGGAAAGGCTGCTCTGAAAAAAAAAAAAGTATGAAAGGATTAATGATGACAGTGTGAAACATCATGACCAAGTGGCTCAAATAACATACAGTAACTTCTGTTTCTAGTTTAGGCTGAAAATCCTAGAGATAATGTGAATGGCTACAAATAATTTTGAAAATTGCATAGCTTGGTTTTTTTTTTTGGGACTTCAGGATTCAGAAGAAAAAGTGATGACTCACTGTAGACATAAAAATACAAATTTTATACAACTATTTGATCTTTTATATTGTAATTATTTTACTACTTGATGCATGTAATGTATTCTCATAAAATATGTTGGTATAATTAATACAAAAATACATAAAAAAAAATGCATACTAATACTGAAAGAAAACTGTTTTTAGTGAGTAAAAAGTTGTACAAAAAATTTACAATCTTTCTGTACCTTGTAGAATTTGCATGTATAAATATTTTTTTGAGTTTGCTTGAACAATTTTGGAACATTAAGACTTTTTTAATGATCTTGTAAGGGTGACTTAAAGAGGTGGAAAACATTTAGCAAACCTGAAATGTGAGCCAACTTCAGCAAGGATCCACAAGAATAGGCCATGTATCTACATGGGATGCTTGCTCAACACAGCGAGCGACCGTATTCACCCACAACACAAATAATATGTGCCAAATGTTTATGCATTAGCACCTTTAGCCAAGCTATTTTCTGACCTTGTCTAGTCATATAATTAGCATTTATCGTGACATCTTGTAAAATGCACTAAAAACCTTTTTCTGCAACAAGGCTATCAGATAAAATTGTCATAGTGAATGGCTTAAAGCTTATTTGGGTGCAAAACACATAGAATGAATAAACTCGGGCAGAAACAGGAAGGCAAGTAAATTGTTTTATTTTGATAGGGGAACGGGAAGTCCTGTCTGAGTTTCTGTGGACAAATGTCAAATTGACAGTGTTACTGTTTATGGATGAATATGGGTAATGAGACCAGGAATAAGCTGATATAATGGCAGGTGGATCTTACTGTATTCTTTGTTTCAGATCTGGAAGGATGGATAGGACCCCTGGCAGCCTAGGTCTTTTCTCAGGGTGAGCACATTAGAAGTTAGTGATGAGATTATGATCTAAAATGAAGGAACTGGGAATCCATGACCTTTCCTCTGGCCTGTATCCCTCCCAGTCCACTACGTACTAGAAGCCTCTACCTCTACGGCAGGTATTCAGGATTTGGCACACTGTAAATGCCAGATGATTGCCACTGAGCCAGGCAGGAGGTGGGGGGTTTGGCTGTAGGGCACAAATGACTAGTGACTACTGGTTTAATCTGAGATACATTAACGTATGATGGAACGTCATGCAGTCATTCAAACTTCACAAAGTTTAAGACCGACAGCAAATGGGCTGATGAACTCCTCAACTTCATAAGGACCTGGGAACTGAGGAACCAACTTCTTAAGGTAATCTTTTACATTCATGTTACGGGATGTTAACCAGACTCGTTGTCCTGGGGTGTATCGTGTTGCAGCGGTTCTCTTGTGGTCAACAAACTTCTTGTTTTGGCCAGCAGTGCAAAGAAGAGCTGTCTTGGTGTCACTCCAAAGCTTCTTGCAGTGTCTAACATGATGTTGGATAGAATGCACC